TACTACGCAAGTGCACAAGCAGTGATTTTCGTGGTGGATAGTTCTGATAGGTTGAGAATGGCTGTGGCGAGAGATGAATTGTTTATGATACTTGACCATAAGGATATCTCTGGCCGACAGGTGGGTAGTTTGGACGAGTTAACACTTTGATAAAATTCTGGTAACTTTTTATAAAAAGGAACATACTGTATTTGCCATTTTCGGACTGAAACGTACAAGTTTTCTTTGTTGTACAGTTTACTTTAACGGTTGCAGATTTTATGTGCATAAATGCTTAAGTGACTTTAGAATTTGTTTAATGCCTACTTCAAATGATTCTTTTGCATATTATAAAGCATTACTATATGCCGAGACGAGTCCTTTGAGATCAAAACTCCGACAAAGACTGGGGCAACTCTGTGGGAAACCAAATGCGAATGTGCTCGTTCTTCTGATTGTACTTTTGGGTGGAGATTTCTGAAGAAAAACAAAATTTGGAAGTACTAGGAAGTCAAACCTTCCTTTAGAAAAGATTGTTGAGAAAACTCGACCCTAGAATTTTCACAGCTATTTCTTCAGATCCCGATTCTCCTCTTAGCCAACAAAATGGATGCCAAAGATGCAATGACTTCAGCGGAGATCTCAACCAGTTTGGGTAAAGCTTCCATCTTTTGATAACTTTAAAAATATTGAAATTCCGCACAGACAAGAAATTTAATCTGATTTTGTAATATAATAAACTTTTTCCAGGGCTGGACCTAATCCGAGGCCATAAATGGAATATCCATGCGACGTGTGCTCTTAATGGTGCTGGCATTCAACGTGCTTTGGAATGGTTATCGAAAGAAATCAAAACTTATTTGGATTCTTTGAAGTGACCAATCTCATTTCTAAACAAAAATAAATCAAATTATTGATGCATATTTCAAACAAGTCAAAAACAAATGGAAATTCAATCCTTTCAACATCACAATTGTTTATGCTAAGATTCTTTGACATCTCACCGCTAATTCGACACATCTACAGTAATCCGATCGGGTTTCGAAAGCGTCCAGCTGTGCCAGCATGTCATACGAGTCCACAGTTGAGCCCACATCTTAAACCAAATGCAGATAGTCAAGAATTAGTAGAATCAATGTACGATCAGTAAGCAGAGGTAGATAAATCACGTTAAAAAGTTTAATAGCTTTCTCAATGACTTTTATGGGCTTCCGAAGA